AAAAAAAATTCGAACTTGGAAGAAAACGAAAAAGGATTTCCATTTTTTCATGTTCTCCAATTAAGAAACAAATTGCTTGACAAAGACAAGGAGGACATACTTCAAAACAGTAGAGAACACGAACTTATTGCAAGGATTTGGAGGGACAAAGGGATCACCCAAAAGCTGTAAACTTGTGTTTTCAGAAATCTAACTTACTGTAAAGAAAACCGACGTCTTCCAAACCGATCACTACAAAAGTTATTTGAAAATTTTCAACACCAAGAGTATAATAATTCAATACAGGCTTCAGTTGAATTCTACGTCAGATGATTACAACGGATAAACATATATGAATATAGATGCAAATCTACATACATCCAGTAGGTTAAAAATTAAACAGGAATTACCTCTGAGAAATCTGCCGCTGCAAGGCATCCTTGGTTTCTTTAATCTCAATAGGGTACTGAGACACCTCAAACGGTGATGACACAGTATGATGTCCTTCAGAACTACCAAGGTATACGCCACCTGACTGGAACGGACCATTGTCGAAAATCTCAGAATCCACTGATTCTAAAAAGAAATTTTTTAATATTAAAGATGGAACCATTTAGCGAAAAATCCAATTATTAACCATTTTGTGAGTTTCTTTGAAACTTCAAAATGAGCATTAGGTTGCATTTATATCAACTCGTCACATTACACTAACGATGGCTTTTAAGCATAAAACAAACTTGTCCCTTTCATCTCGATTTAAATGGGTTAATACTGGGCAAAAATGCAAAAAGATGTTGAACAACTGCAGGACACTGAGCAATGCATAATTTAATTGACATAGAACGCAAAACGGCTTTGGTGAGTGAAGTTATGTCGAAGAGAAACGTAGGAACCAAACCAAGAATTTTAGTATTTTGAACGGGAAAATGGTTTCTATCGTAGTGATTTTTTAACGAGTTTCTCATCAAAGTGGAGTCCAGAACGCAACTGCAGCTGAGCAAGCCCACCCCAAAAATGCTTCTTTCTTTACAATTGCCTTCTTTTCAATTTTCCAAAACAAAACCCTCAATTCTGTCTCATTCACTTGTGACAGTTTCAGCCTCTACTATACACTTCTGGTTAATTTTTTAACGGCCTAGTGCTAAAGTTTCGTCGTAATTCTTATGGTCTTTAACAACAATGACCCGGGGGTGAAACGAGATGTAATGAAGAGTGACTGGTTGAGTTCAGTTCCCTTGAAAATCATTCCCTTCTTTTTTTTAGAGGAAAAGGAAAAAAAGGCTCGATTACTATGGCAATGCTTATTACTGGACAATAATTATAATCCAATTCATCTAAAAACATCTCCTTTGTTTATGGTAGCTTTCGTAAATGATAACAGCTCCGGTCTAATGAACTCAAATGAAAAAGCAGTAGAAAGTAATGAATTGATGAGGCGATGACTCTTTTAGCACACGATACGGCTGCACATTCCTCAAAGGTTTCTTCGGTAAATTCATACAGTAGATAAGAAGATCTAATGCACACAGTTAAAATGCAGCAATACGTAAGAATATTTAAGAAGGTCAGAGAGCGGTGTCAAGAGATGCGAAAATTTTGAGTAGGAAAGTTCAGTAAAAACTGAATCTGAATCTTCCAGGTTCCCGGAATTACAGCTTAAAGTGCAGACATCGCCAACCACGTGGCGCTCCACCGTCAAGTCAGTGTTGTAAAGAGCCATAAGAATTAGGACGAAACTTCACTATTGCGCCTTTGAAAAATTGAGCAACGCGGACAAATCTGGAACTAACACAGATGAATCTCACTGCATTGAGAATCTGGAGCAGAAAAAAAACGAAGGTAAGTAACAGTAAAAAAGAAAGATTAGCGGATGAACACGTTTAACGAAATCTGGCGTCGTTCCGGCATCTATAATCCGAACCTACTCACTCAGAATTAAAACTGACGGCCAATTCGCTTTAAACGCTCTTTTATGTAAAAAGTGTTTCTTATTCAGGAACTTCTTGACTAGCTACGTTGCAGTTTCAGACTTACCCTCTTGCAGTTCTCCTTTACCGCCTAACAGTAGACTGCGGAAATACTTATTTTCCATGAAGTCGTGTTGAAAATATGGTGAAAACCCATGCTGAGATACATCTGCGCAGTGGCAAGGTGCCAACGTGACGACGGATCGATTCAGCATTAATCAAGTTGTTTACCTCCGAATGGATTAGGTGGTGAGCTGCTGATAATCAGTAGGTACTTTCTGGGGTCATCGTTGTGTACTCCTACCAATTTCAAAGTCGAGAAGCAAGGATATGTTCTAGTTTTTGGAAAGAACTGATTTTTTTTGTCAATTTTTTTTGTATAACTGCATTAAATAGTTGGTTTGGCGGAATCCCGTTCCTCAAGTTATGGGTGCGAGGGTTAAATCTTGGTTTTTCCTTTTTCTGATTTTAGCTACACGTTGCCTGAACTTCCAGAAATCTAGAAAAGAGAATTCAAATGGGCAAAGCAATCCGGAACCGTGCTGACACATCAGGTGCGAATTATTTGTTTGTAAAGGGAATAGAAAGAGAATTTAGAAACGAAACCGAATGTAATATTTTGCTGTTTACAGTGCAATAAATCGAGTTAGAATGAGGACAGTCGCCAATGATGACTTACAGTTTTGCGTAGCTTTTTGCAGATATGACATTTATTCTGCATTATAGCAGTAGACGGTCAGTGCTACAACGCAATTGTTTTGGTATTTCTATCATTCTTTTTTTTTGAAAACCAGTATCCTCTACCAACTACCAATCTCCACTATCTGTCCTTAGTTACTAACTCTTTTACATTGTCACTGTCTGCTTTCAGTATTCTACATTTCTTTTATCTGAGGGCTGGTTAACTTGTCAGAGAACTGGGGAGAGACAGCCGGAAGTGTGCGAGGCTTGCAGGATTACCAAAACTTAACTGCTCTTCTGAACTTGATCGCTTTGTTCTCTTTGAGAGACTGGAAAAAGCAGTGTGTCACACCCTCACGGTAATGGATATTAAGGACTGGCATCTTTTCAAATCCTTGTTTTATCATCAAATCAAAAGTTAGCTGTTTTTTGTTCGTTTATTGCTGCGGGTCAAGTGTGAAAACTTAATTGAATAGTTATTGTACGCATAACGAAGTCGTTTGCTAATTTTCCTAATTATCTGTAATAATCCAGAAAAATTTGTCAAACTTTAGAAGGTAGTGAGTCATTCGTAGTATTTCTGCTGATTCAAAATTATCGTGCGCTGTAACCTTATCAGAATAATGAGCGACAAAAAGTCTTACTTAAAGTGTAGTTGTTAAGTAGGCGAGTAGGGATGCTGGCTAATGGTTGCCGCTTTGTGTCTTCAGACATGCTGCTTCCATCTTTTTCAGCATCATTATTATTGTCTTCAGAATCGCCGCTTTTGCTTTCAGCTACTTCGTCGTTTTTGTACTGTTTTGAAAAAGTCAACATCTTTTAATTAGCGGTTAAGTGACCTGTTTAGTTGCAGATGATTCTAGGAACTGCCGAACGAAAACTTCTACCTAAAGTATTAAGAGAACCATCAATTAAAGTGCTACTGTCAATTTTATCCGACACCGTTAAAAGGAGACGTTGAAGACGCAGAAAACAGCAAAAAAAGGCATAAAACATTCCACTTTTTATTAACGGAATTATTAGAAAAAAATTTTTGATAAGCGTAATTATGTTGGTATCAGCAATATTGGCAGGAACACTGGTAGTAGCAATTATAGTAATAGTAGTAGTAGCAATAATAATTATATAAGGAAGACGGAAGAGCAGAGAAGGAAGGTTGGAAGCTAGAAAAATATTACCAATGGTAAAAGCGACGAATGCTAAGCTAGCAGCTGAAGAAGCTATTTTAAAAAAAATTTCAAAGACAACTTATTCTGTTTATCTAATTAGCACAGTATCATAAATGGAAGGGAAGAGATGAATAGGATGAATAATTGAAAGAAGTCAAAGTGAGGAAAAATAAGTCAAGCAAAACAGTTCAGTTTAGTGAAATAAAAAAGCTTAGCCTATGGTCGGAGACAAATGAAATAAAAAGTGACTTTTCATTCGGTCGGGCATCAACAGTGTTTTAACTGAAATGATCAGCAGTCTTTTTTCCTTTCCTGTGCAAGTGCTTAATTTTCTTTTTCTTTTTTTTTTTTCTTTGCATACCTCTTTCGTCTTTTTATTTCTCATTATTTAAGTGGAAGTTTATGAAACATCTGTTTTTTTTTTTTTTGAAGTGCAGATAATTAGTAAGCAATAGTGCTTCGTCAGGATTTCTGCAAAAAAAAGAAAAGTAAATGTTAATCGGCAAAAAATTTGAAAAAAAAAAAAAAAAGAAGAAGCAAAACAGGCAGTGTTAATCTGATTGGCTGACAAATTGCCGTCATTGTTGTTTACAACCAAAATAAACTGAAAAGTTAACAAAACAAAATAGCAAAAAAAACTGCCAATGTCACAAAAAAAAAAAACTGATTTTTGATTAATTGATCTTTAATAATTCTAATGCCTATTTCCTTTTTTACAAATTGTTTTCAGATGAACTATAACAAAATTAATGTTTACAAACTGAAATTGAGACTTTGGCATCTACCAGTATTAACGCGGTCGCCGAATATAGCGTGCAGAATAGGTTTGCGGCAGAATTAACTAAACAATGGCCATTAATTTCCTCCTTGATTCCGTATTCATTTTCCTAAAAATAACGAGCTTTTTTTTGTTTTTCTGCTTTTCTTTTTCAATTTTTTTTTATCTAGTTTACTTCATAGCGTTAAAATTATTGCTGGAACTTTTATGAAAAAGGCAAATGTACAGAAAAGAGAAACCTCTCTTTCCCATAGGAGTCGAATGAGAGCAGTATTGTTCATTAGCACTATGTATCTGTATGTATTTCTAAGAGAAAAAAAGGATTAAAGAAGTTGAAAAAAAATAGTGCCGTAGTTGAGAATATCAAATTAGGAAATACAAAGAATGTATTTGGAAAGAGATGGAGTGACGCATTTGAAAATGTAAAAAAAACTTGGGAGAAGAGAAGAACATGGAGGAGAAGATGAATAACTTTGATAATTCTCAGTTCTTCGAATGAAAGTATTCAAGTAGTGTACAAACAAAAATTTGTTCTCAGTTAAACACTCCTCTACAATACATTTAGCAATTTATTTGCTTTCACATTTTTCCTCTTTTTTTTTTTTTTTTTGTGTGTGTGTGTGGACTTTTTTCTCACTTTACTTGACAACACATAATCCTTTCTCAAGCTTAGCAAATCGACAGTTTGCTCTATGTAAAAGATCATTAGACAGAAAACATAGAATTTTTAAATTTTTTTTCATTTTATTTTAATTTACTTTTTATTTTCGTCGCTTTGTTTTTCCGGCTGAATTATTGCAGTAACGAACCGATAGCGATCAATAAGTGAGAATACTGAATGAGAGAGAAAAAAGAGGAAATCTGAACCAAAGCTGACAGCCCACTAAGTATTAAAAAAATTCTATTAAAACAGTAAATACACAAAACAGCTTTTCAAATATACATAATATCAATGGAACCAAAATCCTGTTAATGTTTTTTTTTTTGCTGAAAAATAAATCAGTTGAAAAATGTGGCA